TTACTTTCTTTTCCATTTGGGTATTTCTACATTTGTAACAATGTTCTTCTTGTTACTTTGTTTGGAATTGTAAGACATGTCTGTTTTTGTTGGTTATTGTTATTCTTGTTTAATTTGCCAGTTTCATTTGTGTTGCATGCAGTGCCGGCCTTAGCCTTTTTGCCGCCCTCGTGCGAAATTTGTCCTGCCGCCCCTGAAAATTTTATAAACGTGCTGGTAAATTACATGGAAAATAATAACAAATCGAATTCAAAAATAATACTTTGCAATAAAACGCTACATACAAAGAAACATTTTTTGTTTATGTTTTACAAAAAATACATTTAATTTTTTAAATTAATCTTACGAGCCTTCTTATCACCAAAATCTTTGATTAGGGTTGAAAAATCAAGATTTTCAGCAATATTCTTTTCAATCGATAGGGTTCTTAAACTTGAAAGTCTATCCTGCGACATTGTTGACCGCAGATAGGTTTTTATTAGTTTCATTTTGGAAAAGCTTCTTTCTCCACTCGCTACAGTGACAGGTATTGTTAGCAAAATTCGCATTGCAATCCATGTGTTTGGATACAAATCTTGCATTTTGGGCTGTTTTATAAAGTTTAAAACAATAATAGGAGTAATTTTATCCTTGACCATTTCAGAAAGAAAAGGTTTAATGCTCATCAGTTCATCGCAAAGGAGAATACCATTAATGTCCGATTTTAGATTTACGGTAAGTTTACTTTGAAGAGCTAAACATGATTTTAGAATTTCTTCTCTTTTTTGCAAACTATCGACATTATACAAAAAACCCCAAACTTCGGAATAATTCTCCAACTGTATAAATCTTTCTCTCATTGAAATTAAAGATGTGTCTAAAAGAGGATTGAAGAAATCGATTTCTAATTTTTTTTCAGGAGAAAATAAATAAATCCCATCTTGGGCTGGTTCGTCAAAATGGCGTTTCACTCGTATTATTCTTTTAAGTGGTTTAAAAACAGGCTCCACTTGTAATTCTATAGCCAAATCCTTTGCTTTTATAATTGCATCTTTAAAACCACATTTTCTATAGTTTCTAAAAATGAACAACAGCTTTTCAATAACTTTGCACATTGAGTGATGTCCATGTCTTTTTCTTGAAGAGTTTTACTTACAATATTGACTTGAAAAAGAACGTATTACCAGACAATTAAAGAGACAAGAAAGCTAAAATCTTTTAATTGCTCTCCTAGAGTTATCGCTTCATGTGCAGTTTCAGGATAACATCCTTCAATTTCTGACAATGCTATCAAAGCGTCATGTACATCACCAACTTGATAACGAACGGCTTTAACACTACTTATTTTTGCTTTCCACCGCGTGTCACAGAGTTTCTTTAAACGCAAAATTTTAACATGATCAATTAAAATTTTCCATCGGCTCACTGAAGCTGAGAATAGAGTAAACAATCTCTGACGAATACCGAAAACGGCTATAGATTTTACTGAAGACCGTGCAGAGTCACTTATTACCAAATTTAAGCTATGGTTGCCGCAAGGAACATATAATGCTAAAGGATTAAGATTTGAAATCCTTTTTTGTACACCATTAATCTTTCCTTTCATATTTGATCCATTATCATACCCTTGACCTCTGCAGTTAGAGATTTCAAGTCCATGCTTAGTTAGCAACTCGATTAAAACCTCAGTAAGTCCTAAGCCTGTAGAATCAGAAACAGAAAAGAATCCTAAAAAGTACTCTTTAATTTCCACTCTAATGTCTAATGACAAGTCAACAATTCGAATAGTAAGAGAAAGTTGTTTTTTTCTAGAAATATCAGATGTACAATCAGCAATAATTGAATAGTAAACGGCTTTCAAGACTCGGTTTATTATTTCATCATTAACCTTTTGAGACATTAAATCTATTAACTCATTTTGAATATTTTTCCCGCAATAATGGTCTGAAGTGTCACCTTTTATTGCAAGTGCTAAATGCTTTTGCATCACAGGATCAAATTTTGCAAGCATCTGTATTAGTCCTAAGAATTTGTCGTTTTGAGGCGTAAACAGTTTATCCGAACTCCCTCGAAAAGCCATATTATTTTCAGCTAGGTAAAGAGTGATATTCATCAGCCGAAGAAGAACATTTTGCCATCGCAAACTGTCTTTTTCTATAATTTTAATTTCTTCATTATCTATAGTTTTTCCAGTTTTTAATCTTATTTCAGTTTCTACCCACTGTTGATAACATTTCATATGAGAGACGCTGTTTTCATGAATTCCCAATGTTTCAGTTAAATGTCTCCATTTCTTGAAACCATCAGAGACTAAGTTTGACTTTGAATTATTATCAAAAAGTAGACAGCAAAAACAAAATACGGAGTTTTTAGAATCTGAATAAACCAACCATCTACGGCCAGTGCTGTGCCTAGAGCCCCCCAAACCCCCCGGTTGGGGGGGGCGTGAATTTAAAGGGGCTTTTCTATGCAGTATGCAAACTTTTTTTTTGAGATGATGACTAAATTAAAATTATGATATAAGTGGTTTTTTTTTAATATAATGTTAAAACCTATTAACGTTTTCTAATTTTTTTAAATTCGCTTAACCTAACGAAAATGATATTGTATTTGCTGAGTTAATGGACGTTTTAAATTAGTTAAACTTTTGTTTAGAAGGTTTCGCTTTTGTTTATGCTAAACCTAATGAGAAATATGCTTTAACTTTTGTATACAAAACTCCAAATTATTATTTGATTCACATTTTTCAAACTCTAGTTTTTCACGGGTTTTTTAATTGTATTTAGTAGCAAGGATTTATTTGTATTTAGATACAAGGATTTTAATTGTATTGTATTTGTAGAAACGATTCCAGTTGTCTACATAAAAACACTTTTAAGTAAGCAGAAATTAATTTGTTTATATAGTTTGTAAATAATATATAAGCTACATTTTAGTGGTTAAGTTTTATCAGCAATGGATGATACTTTTTGCTTTTTCATTACTAGATTATAACATTAATAAGAATATATTTTTTACATAATATTTAAATGGATTTCCTAATACACATTCTTTTCCAATAACATAAGAATTTATTATAAAAATTTTGTAAAAAAAATGTAAAATTATCTGTTGTTAACATTGTGTTAAGTATTTAAAAATACTTGATCATATTTTGCACGCGCATACAAGTGTGCATGCAAAGTGCATACAAAAAAAATCTTTTTTTCTTTTTAAACCCAAACCTTATTTATAATAATATATAGTTTTTATAGATTGTATACATTTAAAATATTGTATTACAGTCTAATACTATGAATAAAAAATCATGTAAATCTATTTTTCATTTTAGATAATGAAGCCTTTAAAGTCAGGTGCAACTAAAAGAAAAGAGGCAGCAGCAACAAAAGATGCAATTAGCAAACTTCCAAAAGTTACATCATTCTTTACACCTATTCCAAGTAATTGCACCAGCAATGAAAAAAATTGCTCTAATGAAGTGGTCATTCATGAACAGTTAGATATTGCGAATAATCAACCTAACACAATAGAAAAGTTGTACACTCTACCATTGCCACCGTTTAGTTCCGTTGCTTGTGACCCAGCCAGCTGGCCTGAACAAATTTCTGATGCTCAACGATGTGACCTAGTCAAACGTGGTCCTCAACAGGTTAATATTGACTTTCCATACAATATTGCTGCAAGGCGTCGATTTTCAACGGTTCATTACAAGCGTGTGATGAATAATGGAGAAACTGTGCCTCGCTCATGGCTTGTGTATTCGGTAAAATCTGACAAGATTTTTTGTTTTTGCTGTAAACTTTTTGAAACAAATGAAAGTCCGTTTCGTAGTGGTACTAGTACATGGGAGGGACTATCAAAGAAGTTAAAAGACCATGAAACAGGAACATCACATCAAAAGTGTTTTAGACAATGGATGCAGCTTAAAGAGGGTATCAATAATGATTCATCCATAGATAAACAAGAAATGCAGCTTTTTCTTAAAGAAAGGCAATTTTGGAGGGATGTCCTGGAGCGTCTTATTGACATTATAAAGTTCCTGTCAGAAAGATATTTAGCATTTAGAAGTTCCGAAGAAGTACTTGGCTCACCACACAATGGAAACTTTTTGGGTTTGTTTGAGCTATTAGCAAAAAGAGATCCTGTACTGAACGAGCTACAGAAAAAGATTGAAAAAAACAAACACATGATCACTACCTCAGCAACAAAATCCAGAATGAGTTAATTCAACTCATTGCAAAAGAAGTAGAAAAAGAAAACCTGAAAAAACTAATGATATCTAAGTACTATGCAATAATTCTGGATTGTACTCCAGATGTTTCTAACCAAGAACAGTTAACAGTCATTTTGCGTTTTGTTGAGTGTGATACAGGTAATGAAGTCACAATAAAGGAAGCTTTTTTTGGATACCTTCAAGTTAGCGACAGCTCAGGAAAAGGGCTTTTTGACACATTTTTAGAGCGAGCAAAGGAGTTAAAACTGAATATGTTAAACTGTCGGGGCCAGTCGTATGATAATGGTTCTAATATGAAAGGGAAGAATTCTGGTGTTCAGTCACAAATTCTACAAACAGATCCGAAAGCTCTGTATGTGCCTTGTGCTAATCACTGCTTGAATTTAGTTGTGGTTGACAGTGCCAAGTCGTCAACTAGGGCTTTATCATTCTTTGGTGTTCTGTCCAGATTGTACACCGTATTTTCATCATCCACACAGCGCTGGAGCATTTTGAAAGAACATGTGGAGATTGCTGTTAAAAATCAATCGGACACTCGATGGGAAAGTCGAATTAACTTTATTAAACCTCTGCGGTATTATTTTGGCAATGTTTTGATTGCACTGGAAAAACTGGAGGTTATGCAATAGAAAAAAAAGATGGAAAAACAGCTACGGAGGCTCGGTCATTGATAACATATATTTCAGACTGGGCATTTCTTTTGTCTATTGTCATCTGGTATGACATTTTATTCCAAGTAAATAAAACAAGCAAGCTCATTCAATCCTTTGGTATTTCTCTAGATGTTATGGAAAATGAAATCAGAGCAACTGAGGCACTTTTAGAGAAGTATCGAGAAAATGGATTCTCAAGTGCTGAGACCACAGCCCGTGAAATTGCAGAAGAACTAAATATTCCAAGAAATTTTCCATCAATTCGCAACAATAGGAAGAAAAAGTTGTTTGATTATGAAGGAGACGACGAAAGCGGTAGTCAAACGCCCCAATCACAGTTCAAAACTGACTTTTTTTTTGTGCTTGTGGACCAAGCTTTACAATCTGTACGGGAGCGTTTCCAACAAACACATGATGTGGCTGCTGTATTTTCATTTCTGTTCAATCAGAAAAGTCTTTTTCAAGCATACAAAGACAACACCCTTTTGCTGAAGTGCCAGAATTTTCACAATAAAATGGGTGATATAGATCCGTTTGAAATGGAGATGGAATTAAAGCGATTTATTCATTTAGTTTTAGAAAACGACGAAAAGCTAAAAACTGCAATACATTTTCTGAATTATATCAACAGCAAATGTCTCCAGGAGGTGTATCCTAATGTCGCTATCGCACTCCGTGTTTTGTTGACTTGCCCTGTGACAGCAGCAACTGCTGAAAGAAGCTTCAGTAAATTAAAACTTATCAAAAATTTCCATCGCTCAACAATGACGCAAGATCGGCTGTCTTCTCTAGCCATGCTCTCAATAGAAAGTGACTGTGCCCGGAAGATAAACTGTGACCACCTTATTGAGGTCTTTGCAGACTCAAAAGTTCGTCGAAAGCATTTAGTTGAGCCTCATTGAATAACGCTTTGTAAATAAAGTTTTGTAGCAAGCAGTTAAAAAAAATCAAGTTTCTATGTCTTTTTTATTAATAATTTGTTTTTAGGTGCTCCAAGAAGTTTTTCACAGAGCACAGTGGAAAAGCATTTATTAAGAAGTTCACGCCTCCTTCCTAACCGTTGTAGAAATCTTGTCCAGAGGGTGTTTTGAAACCCGGATCTCTTGAGTCGACTCGATTAGAGAGACAAGCACTCTACCACTTGAGCTAAACGGCTTTAAAATTATCTGATCATGCATGTGGAATGAGTAATACCAACATGTTCTGCCTTTTATCTCAACTTTTTAATGGGGCCCAAAACCCACTTTTTTTTGGGGGGGGGGGCACCAGCTGTCTGGCACGGCACTGTCTACCACAAAAGGTTTCTCCATTCGCAAGCTTTTTATTGTAATAAATGCTAGAAAAATGTCGACCATTTCTATCTTCAGGGTATTTTTCCTTTGTAATTTGAAAAGGACCAAGTTTGATTAAATGGTTACAAAGTTGCTAGATTGAACAATTGGCCAATTTCCACAATCCAATAAATTAGGTGTTTCTTGTAAAAAATCTTCCGATAAATCATTCGATTCTTTTAAAATAACTGGTTCATTATCTACTTCAATTTGCAATGAAGTTATAAAACTATTTTTGAGTATTGTTGAAAGTTCTCCAATTTTATTGGACATAGTCGTAGAGATAGTTGAAGCATCAGGGTTAAAATCTTCACGAACTTCGTCAGGTTTTTTATAAGCAACATATTTTTCAATGCTCATGAATTTTTTAATTTTTTCAAATTTTTGATCTTTAACGGACTTTCTTTTTCTGTACTCATAACCAGACAACTTTTTTCTCGAATTTGAAATTTTATGTGACATGAGACAGAATATTTTTTAAGATAAAATTATTTCTACAATTTAAAAAAAAAAAAAAATTTAACAAAGTTCTCAAAACACATTCATAAAATTATTAAAGAAATAAAAAAAAAAGTAACTAAACTTACTGAAAATTGTTTAAATCGAGTCAACTTAACATTTAACAACAAAAAATAAAAACTTTTGAACTTCTTTATAAAATTTTTTTTGCAACTTTTCGAAATGACTCCTAGGGGAAATAACGCTCAAATGATACAACAAATTACAATAGAAAATCGTGCGTTAATTAAGTAAATGTAGTAATTTTTTGTCTTCAAATTTAAAATCGTGTTTTTTTTTTTTGCAAAGGTCGTTAAATCTTTTAATTTACTTTAAATTTTTAATATACTACTGGAAAATTAAAACTTGTGACTAATAAAATTCTCCGCCTCTATTTACTTGCCGCCCTCGTGCAACGCACGACCTCGCCCCCCCCCCTAAAAGCCGGCGCTGGTTGCATGGGGTGTCTTTTCCTATTCTTACAGCTATTCTTAAGTATATCTGTTGTTTTCATTGGAGTGCAAAGGGTGTGTTTGTTGTTGGCATAGTAAATAAAATCCTCAATATCGTTATTGTTTTCTGGCAACCCCTTAATGATTAGATTAGATTTTTTTCTGTTTCTATCAAAAATCTCTTGCGTTGTTTCTTTAATTTCAGTTTCTCTAATTGCTTTATGTTTTTTTTAATTGTTACATTGTTTTCATTTGTTTGTTTTTCAATTTCAGCAATTTTTTCAGTTAGTTTAATATTTCAAGCTTTTTCTTCTGTGTTATTATTTTCTAGTTCTTTATTTTTTTTTTAAGATAGTTAGTTTCTTCTATAAGGTATTCCGTTTGTGTATTTGTTTTACAGGCTCTACATATAAAATCTAGTTTTGAAATTTTGGATTTGTTGTATTTTATTTTGAGTCCATAATTTTCGAAAATATCCCATCCGTTGCATTTGGAACATTCGATCCATTTAAAATTTTCAGACTCTCTCATATATTTATCTATATAATTTTATATAACTTATTTTATCTTAGCTTACTTATTGCTAATTATAGACAATACTAATTATAAATATATAACTATACCATACCATGTTAACTATTAATAAATAAATAACCGCCATCTTTAACCGCCATTTTCTTAAATCCTAAATGTCCGCCATTTCTTAAATCCTAAAAAATCCGCCGTTTTCTAAAATCCTTAAATCTTAAATCTGAAATCCTTAAATCTTAAATGGTGAATTTTGCAGGTAAGGTTTTGAGGTAAGACTCAACTAATAGAAGGTTGCTTTGCAGACCACAAATATTTGTGAAAAATATATTAAAAGAGTTAGGAAATAGTTTTTTATGTTTAATATTATGGGTATTTTTGGCATAGTTTAAGCTTAATAAGAATTTGACTCATTCATATATAGAGCACGATCTCCTAAGCAATGAGCTATGCAATTGTCTTAGTCCTGTTAAGTAACCTTAAGTCATAACATAAGGTTCCTTATGTGACCTTGACAATGCGCACCAAAAAAGCATTAAGGTAGCAGATCCCCTTAAAATAAAGTTGCTTGAACTATTGTTATTAAATACCAATTGCAATTAGGTTTTATTTGATATCAATTAAACTTTTTTTTTTAATTAAAAATTTTGAAAAAAAAAAAGTAATTAAGGACTAATTAGACAATTAAGCAGCCATTTTAAAAAATTTTCAAACGTGATTATACAAGTTTTACAAATGCTGTGGACTTCAAATTTTCAGGATATGTTAGTAGTACTATTAACTAGGGTTTCTACCACTTTTGTGTAAAAATGATAAATTCTCTAAAAGATAATCAATTTTTTCAAAAATTATTAAAATGAAGTACACAAAAAAAAAAAAAATTTTTACTTAAAATGAAAATTGAACTTTCATTGAGGTACAAACCCTAGACAACATAACAAGGAACATTTGCTGAAAATTTCAAATCAAAATCTATAGTAGAAGTTGAGAAAACGCGTTTTATGTGTCGAAAAGTTCTTAAAAAATAAAACACAAGAAAAATGCTCCTAAAGATTTTGTAATTGAAAAATAATAAATTTTTTATCATTCTAAAAAACCACCAGCAGAATATGATGCTCTTTCTTCATTTTCTTTATCTATGAATCCTTTTTTCATAGCTCTTAGTAGCTTTCTTTTGCTAATACCTGCTGTTGAAGTTTTTTTTATCATATAACCTATTCGAGTCTTGTTTTTTTAAATGGTCCCTATGTCCATAAATCGACCGGTCTTTATCTGTAGTTTTTGAAAAACTTCATATATCCCACTAGCTCCATCATTAAACTCTAAAACAGCAGATGCTACAGCTATTTCAAGAATATTTCGACTTACATAAACATCTTTAGGACATTTTTTTAAAATGAAATTGTTAATTGCTTCATTATTATTTTGTGTCTGTCCATGCAAACATTTAGATAATAATTCATCTCTACTCAAGTCTTGAAAGATGGGTTTTAAAATTTCATTTATTGCTAATGGAATATTTAATTTAGCTTTGTAAGTTGATTTACCTGTTAGTTTATTTGACTGCCACATGCACCAGCTATTTACATTTCGAGGACAAAATTTATGTCATCCAGTTTCACCAAGAATATCTGAGTTATGGAAAAGTGTTGCCCAAAAACCCTTTTTCATTCCATAAATGCTGTTAAGAATTTGCCTTATGGCAGTACCATAATAATTCTGCAAAGTATTTATAGCTTTATCACATTTTTGATTATTTGTTGATATCAAAGTAACAACACCATTTATGGATGTGTGACCTCTTTTTTGCCATGTTCCATCAACAGAAACATGGCAATCAACAATACTTGTATTATCACTGATGACATCCATCAAAACAATATCATGTGTCTCTTTTTCAGCATTTGACATAGAAGTATTAGCTGCTTCGACATAAGCACTGTGAAGTAATTTTGTTATTTTACCATAGTTTTTTTTTGTCATCGGTCTTGGCATATTCATGCAACGATTAAATGATACTATCCAATTTCTCTAAAAGCAACAACAACTTGTGTATTAACTTCTTTTAATTATTCTTTTAATTTTAATTTCTTTAGCCTCTCTGAGAGCTACCACAAAGTTTGGGAAATTTTACTACCAGCGTCAAAACCAATAAACTGAGTTTTAGAGCTGAATCCTTATTATGTGATAACAGGAAGAGTTGCATAGCCACTATTAAGGAGGAACAAGCAAAAACATAAGAGTAGAGTCAAAATTATCTAGCATTCATCATCCTAGGCAGGAAACAATGTAACACAGGTTTACATCTACGCCAGCCTAATAGAAAAAGAAGTAGTTCGAAGCTTGGTTGGCGCAATTATTCTGCTTACCCCTAAGTATTTGCCTAGAAGGTCTCCTACAACACAGTAGCTGGATGCAGTTAACATCTGCCCAAGATTAAAATTTTTATCGAGACATCTCTAGCCTTTACTTAACCAAAATTCCCAAGGCAAGGGAATTTTAGCTTGATGCAGTTAACATCTGCCTAAGATGAGTATTTTTTATCGAGAGACCATCTCTAGCCCTTACTCAACCAAGAGCCCCGAGGCAGGGGATTTTTAAGTCGGAGTTTGTTTCTCCTAGCCAATTCCTAAAAAAGCACACCCTACAAGGCCGCACCTGAACCTGGCCTGACCTGGATAAAATAAAGCGAGAAATGCAAACAAAGTTTTTAGGATAATTTGAAACTATTAATATTTTATGCATTAATAAATCACAGAAGCCCTTACGGTCTTATCACAGAGTACCGTGGAAAAGATTTAACTAAGATGTTCAGGCCTATTTTCATAGTAATGTCGCTTATTGGGCTAAAAAGTATCTTCTCGATAAAAATTATGGAGCTGTCAACAAAATCCATTAAACATAAAATTCACACAAGCCAACAGGATACTGCTTTTTGATTTGTTCAAAACAATCTACCAACTTTTTGATTTAATTTTTTTATTTTTATAAGTGAGATACATAAATAATACAGTGAGATACGTAATATTGTAAATGAAAAAATAATATTTCTTTTATGAAAATATTAATAAAATATTTTCATAAAAGAACAATGTATTACTCATCGGAACCAATTAGTTCATTAGAAAAAGATCTAAATATCTTACTTTGTTCTTTTAAACAGAAACCAAACTTTAAAAATTGTCTTAGGGTGTTTATTTAAACAAAAAATAAAAAAGATTTTCTTCGACATAAACCCATCTAATAGAGGCTTGTAATATATCTCTTCTTCCTAATTACTAAAATGCTTAAGTTTTTGTTTTATGATCACATGACAAGGAGTTAATTAGTTTCGAAAGATATATGTTATTAACGATACATTATTTAATAGATTTGGATTAGACTGCATCATAGGCGTAGAAATTCAAGTGAATGTAAAATTAGACTTAGTTTTTCGCTATATTAAAAATGTATAAAACTTAAAGCACATTTTGTTGCTTTGCGTTGAACAGATTCAATCAAAGATATATCAGTTTCCCAAACAGAGACTGAATATTTAATCTTTAACTTATTTTTGTTATTTTGCAAAAAGTAACTGCGAATAAGATTAATTTAATGATAATGAATTTTAATAATAAATTTTAGTAACTAAGTATTTGACCACTCATTAATCAAGTGTTAGGTTAGAGAAATTAGCCGATAGTCATAAGCAAGATCTTTTTTTATATTAATCAGACTAATGTTGACTAATTTTTAGAAAGAAGTTACTATTCCGGAGTTCAAAGATTCATAGAGGATTTCTGTAAAGAGAATTGCGAAGCTTTTGGCACATTAAATATTAAAGGATGCAAGTTTTAAACTCCAATGGATTTAGATCGGTAGGTTTACTAATAATGTCGGTGACAGAGCCCAAGCTATCATTTTAAATGCATTCAATTTAACATCGTTTTTATATAACGATGAAACATTTTTCAAAAGTTTTTAAAAATAAATAAAGATTTAAATTCAGAGTTCAGAAGATCCAAATATAGTGTATTTTAGATCCTGAACTTGACACAAAAACTTCGTTAAGAAAAACATAAGCAAAAAAATAAACATTTTAAAACTTTAAATAATTTAATTCTTTTTAACTTTTAAAATCCAATTAAAAAGATTTATAAAAAAGCTCCCTTCACACTCCTTCAAAATAAAGTCTTTAACGATTGTTTAGCGTCAAGTTTTTAGGAGAAATGTATTCCACCACTCCACTTGTTGCGTGCGCATCATAAAAAAAAAAATTGTTGTGAGGAGCGTCTCGACCGGAAACAGCCTAAAAAAAGTTAAAATGTTTACATTTCTATAAATCTTTTTTTAGTTAGCATCTAAAAAGGACTTTTAAGAAGAATTTTACGCCCAATAAAGACGAGGCTATGTCGTAAAACTCAATGCAAAGCTAATAATCCATGTAAAATGAATTGCTACAAAAGTAAATATTTGAAACAGTTATGATTGCATTAAAATTGTTCTAAAAATAGGTAGGTAAGTTTAATAGAGATTTTCTAAAACGCAATTTTCAAAAATGACGAAAAGCAAATTTTTGAAAAAATTATTTTTCATTTCTTTTTTTAATTTAAAAGCAAAAAATACGACATTTTTTATGCAGTGAAATCTCAAATAAACTTTTTTTTCATAAAAGGATTATCGAAATTTTTGAAGAGTTTTTTTTTCCTATTACTAGGACCCATTAAATATAAATAATACTAGGGACCCATTAAATACTCTTTAAACCCGTTAAAGGGTTTTGAGAGACCCCTGGAAATATTTTTTATTCAAAAAATTTTATATCTAGTGTAAGTTTTTTGTATAAAACACTTTGATAAAAGATGGTTGGAGCAGTGCCAAAAAAGATTTAAATATTGTTCACAGTGTACATAATGAGAAGATATCATATTCAATATTCGCTATAAATGCAGGAAATGAAAAATTTTGAAATACTGAGCACATTTAAACTATAAAACACATTAAAAAGATTTAATTAGACATTTAAACAATAAAACAGATCAAGAAGGTTTATGAGCAACATGTATAATAGAACTATACTATACTGTGACGAATCCAGGATATTTCTTTGGGAAGAGGGAGGGGATGTTAATACCAAAGTTGATTTAAAAATTACCTAGAGGAAAAGTTTTGAAGATTTTGGGGCCCTAATCAAAAGTTTTAAACAATTTATATATATATATATATATATATATATATATATATATATATATATATATATATATATATACAATATATATATATATATATATACAATATATATACAATATATATATATATATATATATATATATATATATATATATATATATATATATATATATATATATATATACAATATATATACAATATATATACAATATATATATATATATATATATATATATATATATATATATATATATATATATATATATATATACAATATATATACAATATATATATATATACATATATATATATATATATATATATATATATATATATATATATATATATATATATATATATATATATATATATATATTATAACTGGTGATAACTTAAAAATAAGAATTTTCATATCGTTAATAAAAACGTGTTTATAAAATGAAAATTATTTTTATTTTTATTGAAGGTATATCACCTATCTTTAAGAAAAAATAAATGAACATTTGAATAGGGTTCATCATCAGCAGTTCGACGTAGCTTTGTCATGATGTTGGAAAATTATACAATATTTATATCGATTTGACGAATGCATCTTTTGATTCAGGTAACCATTTGTTTGCAATTATTGGCTCCCCGGTTGTTTTTGTATACTAACGAATTCAAAAATTAAATCTTTAATTGGGTGACAGTGAGGCATGTTAGTTGGATTGTGGTTTTTTAGTACATAAGGGATGATTAGGCTTTCCAAAAAGATTTGTTTTTTTTTGGCATAATGTGATGATTATTTTTGGCCAAAACACGTAATTGCCATCTGAATGATGTTTTTGAAGAAATGAAATCAATATTTTCTTTAAACATTGATTCTGGTATACTTCTTGATTAATAACCAAACCACTTGGCCTAAACCAACGCTTGGAAATTCCCCTCCCAGATATCACTTTCTGCTCAAATTTGCTTTTATATTTGTATTTTTAATTTGGAGTTGTTGTAGAACTTTTATCTGCATAATATCGATCATTTACCGGAATTTACGTTTTAGAGAGGAGAAAGTAACTTTTGTCATTCAAAACAAAACATTTTCCAGAGTAATTTCGGGTCATCCAGCAGCATCGAAATTTTGCGGTTGACATTTGTTGCTCAGTTTATTTCAGTTTATTTGTTTTTTTTTCCGGCATACTACTCCTTGTTTTTTTCAATGTTTTGCAGATATTGCGTACACTTGAGCTTTTCTATAGTATCTCGTTGACTTATTGAATCATAGTTTTAGAAAGCACAGTGAAGTAAACATAGTCTTGTTCATTATTTTTTGCTGGTCTTCCACTTTTACGATTAGTTGTTAAGGATGCAAAAATACGGTAAATTGTTGAAACTGGATTATTTTTGGTTTAAAAATGATTCACAGTAAACCCTTTCCCGAGATTTTCGTGCATTTGATAGAATTTTACAATGCGCTCGCGAAGTACATCTCCTTTTGACGGTATTTTAAACAAAACTGAATTAGCTGGGTTAGAATTATTCTTATTTTTTAGTCATCTCCCGTTATACGCACGCACACACACACACACACACACACACAAATATATATATATATATATATATATATATATATATATATATATATATATATATATATATATATATATATATATATATATATATATATATATATATATATATATAACGGGAGATGACTAAAAAATAAGAATAATTCTAACCCTTTACTCTCTATTATATATATATATATATATATATATATATATATATATATATATATATATATATATATATATATATATATATATATATATATATATATATATATATATATATATATATATATATATATATATATATATATATATATATATATATGATTTCTGATGAGTCTTTATTGATGAAACACAGTGTAAAATGAAAAAAAAATTTATTAAGTGATTTTCTACTAATTAATAATTGCTCTGTTCTTTTAAGAACATTGAGCACTCTATTTTGTAGAATACATTTTTAAAATTGTTTAAACATATATATATATATATATATATATATATATATATATATATATATATATATATATATATATATATATTTAATAGAGAGTAAAAAAACTCAGTGTAACACAATGGTATCATTTTTGTATTGTTACAAAAAATGAATGAAACTTTAAGAAATTCTTATAAGATTATTAGATAAAGAGCGCAGATACAATATATTCAAAGCCTTATCGAGTTTTAAGAGTGGGGTACGGGCCTAGTTGCTTATTAAATCGTGTTCAATTTTGATATTGAAATTTTTTTTCAAACTGTGATTTTGAATGATATACTCTCTAAAAGTTGCAATAACATCAATACTTCGAAAAAATGTACATACTGAAGAGAATATCACCATTGTAAATGAAAGCGTGAAAGAACATCTACATTTTTCAATTTGTCTTGGTTTTTGGGGCTCTGTCAAACCATATCATGTGAAAATTTTGCAAAAAAGTCTTGGCCTACACCTGTATCAACTGGTACAGGTTAAATATTAGACAAAATTCCCGCATATGAAGTAAGATCAATCCACAAGAGACCCGCTAGACTCTATTATATCCAGAAAACTACACTGTTTGGTGCGGTTTACTAAGGGGTTTCCGAAATTCTATATTTTTTGTTTAACCAGTTGTTCTTGATTAATTTTTTTTAAAAAGTTCAAGAAACAATTCAGTTTTTGCTATTTTTTTGTGATTAACCTTCACTTCAATTTTTAACATTTTAAAAATTTTAAAAAACTTAAAAACTAGAGATCTTTGCGTGTAAAATTTACACAACTTTATGTTAAAACTTATGCAACTTACACAACTTTATGTTAAAACTTATGCAATTTACACAACTTTATGTTAAAACTTATGCAATTTACACAACTTTATGTTAAAACTTATGCAATTTACACAACTTTATGTTAAAACTTATGCAATTTACACAACTTTATGTTAAAACTTATGCAATTTAAATATTGATTGCATAACTTTAAATTAAAGTAATGAAAGTTGCGTTTAAACAAAAATAAGTAAAAAAATTTTTTTTTTGATTTACTTCACTAGAAAATACTATTAAATTTGTAACTTAACTATTAAATTTGTTAACTGAATTTAGATACTGAATAAAATTAAAAAAAATAAAAATAAATGAATAAATATCAATTGTTTTTGTACTTGTCTTTAATAAAGTCAACAATAAATTAGCTTTTGTTGAATTAAAAGAGTATTTGCTAATAAACTATTAAATTTCTCTGAATCAAGATAATTTTATGACGTCAAAATCACTACGAGCAAATGTGTTAAAGTGTTTTTTATTTAAAACAAAGCCTGAATATACTATTATAGAGTGTTTCCAAAAAATCTTCAACAGTGTCATTAACAAAGGTCTTTCATATTTAGGGCTATTTTTTTCAAAGAGGTCTTCTCTCTTTTAGGCAAGGTTTAAAAATGTATTGTAATTGTTGTTAGATCTGCCATCTAGCTTCTAAACCTGAGCCTCTGTCCCATAGTTATAAGGTTGTATCTCTTTCTCTAGTTTTAATGTTGCATCTCTTTCCATAGTTATATTTAATAATATATTTCTTTCTCTTTTCTACAAATACTACCATGATTAATGATAGCTCATGCAAGCTTTCATTAAGTTACAGCAAAAAGATGCTAAGTCAAATTTTTACTGTGACTGTCTTTTCATGCTCGAAAAATATTTCTAGTCTAAATTTTTTCTTTAAACATTAGTACATAAAAATCATCTGCCCATGTTTTTGTGAAAAACTTTTAGTTTTTATCTTATTTAAATTTTTATTATATAAGATTGATTGCTCAGTAGTTGTAGAAGCAGTTCGTAAATACGCATCTAAAAACTGTATCACTCTTGCAAATACAGTTTTGCAAAACTTAGATATTTTTTTCAACAGAAAATAAAAATGTATTATGGGTGTGGAAAAAGATAGAACAATGGGATAACTGATTTATTAAGTTTTTAATCAGGTTTTTGGAATTTTTAAAACAATTACAAACAACATTGAATTTAAGCGTCAGCGTGGCACTCATTGCAATCGGCTGTCGATTACAAAAATTCCTCGTGATAATACTTAAATATCCAAACT